CCTGTGGTGACCAAGGCTCTCAGTGCTCCTTGCTAACACTCCTGGATTCTGGGGTTGCAGTTCTGGCTGAGATAGGTCCTACGAGTTGCCACAATGTCACAGAGATAAAGGAATTAAAAAAGAACAGACAGGAGCAGGGAATGGTGGCACACGCCTTTAATCTCGGCACTCTGGGAGGCAGAGGCAGGCGGGTATCTGAGAAACCCTGCCTTGAAAAACCAAACCAAACCAAACCAAACCAAACCAAACCAAACCAAACCAAACCAAACCAATCCAAACCTCTAAAATTCTACTCCAGTTACTCCAGTGTTCTGCTTAGACAAACGTGTACCAACAGTGTTCTAGCACACGACTGTATCATACAGAGTAGTTTCACTACCCTGAAAATTCTCTGTGATTCACCTCCTCACCCTCTTCCACTTTCTGGTGCTGTAATTTGCTTAAACGCTATAGCCCCTCTGTTGAGACCTACTTTAGTTCTTAGCATAATTGTGGCTCCTCTGATGACACCTGCTGTAGCCTTCAGCATATCAGAAGCCATTTGCCTCCAAGTCTCCATTTTGATTCTGTCTCTATGGTTTCATTTCTTAAACTTTGTATACTTTGTTACGTGGACACTCTATGAAGTCCCCCAGCTGCGGAACCAATCAGGTTAAAGGTCACCTAGAAATACTGTGTCTAGCTGGTCAAAATGATTGCTTCCTACACCTGGCTACCTGGCTGCATTTTGTTACCTACACCTGCTTACAGTTTTGTTACCTAGTTACCTTTTTGTGTGTGTGTGTGTGTGTGTGTGTGTGTGTGTGTGAGAGAGAGAGAGAGAGAGAGAGAGAGAGAGAGAGAGAGAGAGAAAACTTGCCTTAGGAGCAGAACAACATAATATTATGGCCCTGACCTGTCAGTTTTTGCTCTGAGTCTGGTGTCAGTGGTCAGCATAGGGCTAGTCCTGAACCCATAACACTGGCAAACAGTGAATTTCTATGGCTTTACTTTTCTAGAATGCTATATAGTTGAACTTTCTTTGTTTTGTATGCAATAGCATTATAAAACACTTTATTTCTAACATACTAAAATTACTGTTAAAAGTTAGCGCCTATGCTTTTTTTTTTTTTTTTTTTTTTTTTCCTTTTTTTTTGGTTTTTCCAGACAGGGTTTCTTTGTGTAGCCTTGGCTCTCTTGGAACTTGCTCTGTTGATCAGGCTGGCCTGCAACTCACAGAGAGCCACCTGCCTCTGCCTCCTCTGGCTAAGAAAATTAAGCCAGCCTGGGAAAGTAAAGCAAGGCAGGCAGGCCTCCTCTGTCCTTCAGGTTTCCGTGCACACAATTCAGTAGTGAAGAGAGCACTGCACCATTCTTTTTACTGGGATTTTTTTCTTTTTGCTTTTTGCTGGGATTAAAGGTGTGTGCCATTAGTGCCTAACAAGCCTATGGTTTTCATTGTAAGCAGATCAGATGAAAGTTAAAAAACAGGAATGAAGGCGAGTTGAGCTCCTAATTCAAAAAAGATGACAGGAATACACACACACACACACACACACACACACACACACACACACACACACACGCACATATATGCACACACACACACACATAGGTGTACTGGTATCACATGTTCATATCCTCATATCCTACCACTTCACCCATCCAAAGGCTGGGACTACAGGTATGAGGTAGTACACTCAGCTGACAAATAATTTCTTCAAGTCATAATTGAAGTTAAGGGATAATGGAGGAAGAGTCAGAGGACAGGCTGCCTGGCCCTCTTGTGACTTGGCTGGCTTGCTATATGGTTTAGTATCTACTAACTTGCCCTTTAGCTGTCTTTCCACTTCACAAGTCAGTGTCTGTCTGTTAGGAGCTGTCCTCCTGCCACCCCCAAATGACTTTATAGCTCAACGTGCATTACAAACACCTGTGGCTTTCTTCCAGCGGCTTCTTCAGTTTAACATTTTCCTCTTGAATTTTGTGCTTCCCATCCTGTGAAAAGAGAATAGCTCAATTAATTAGTTATTCATAGTTCTAAACAGTGAGGACATCACAGGTTTCTTCTGTGTGTCTCAGCCTGGGAAGAAGGAGAGCATCTTGCTTTTTTTCTCTCTTTCGGAGAAAGGACTTAACTTTAAACCCGGTTTCTGCATGCTATACCCACCAAGTAGTTACTAAATCAGACAGTTTAGAATTAGTTCTTTCTGGAGCATTTCTTTTATTTTCTGAAATTCAAATAAAATCTAAAGGAATGGCCTCTTCAAGGGGCTCAAGGTAAGCTGACTCTTGGAAAAGTATCTCTATCCTGACTTTCTCTCGAAAGCTGGCCAAAGCCAGTACAGCCTATTCAACTGGATGTGTGGTTGACTGGACACGCATGTAGCTGCCCCACCCCTGTGACTCCAGCCTGTATTCAGTGGGTTTCTTTCTCGGAAGGGCAGTAGACCCAGGCTGGTAAGGCAGCTTTGGTAGTTTTTAGGTCAACTTCTGGTGTGTGTGTGTGTATCCTACCGCCTGCTTTGAACTGCAGCCCACCTGCTTCTGAAAGCAGACTAAGTCCTTAGACCACTCAAGTCTCACAGAAGAGGGGTCAGGGAAACACCCTTCGAGAAGCCCTGGTCAAGGCAAATGAAGACTAAGAAAATTAGGCCAGCCTGGGAAGGTAAAGCGAGGCAGGCAGGCCTCCTCCGTTTCAGGTCTCCGTGCACACAATCAAGTAGTGGAGAGCGCTGCACGGTGGGTCTCTGCACTTCTCAAACAGCAGTGTGTGCTGCATCTTCATTTCTAGTCACCACTCCTTTTGACTCTGCCGCAAATTAACAGCGTGTTCTGTAGAAACTACAAAAGTTATGTCCCACATTACGAGGCACTACACACAGAGGCGCTTGCTCCTCTAAAAAGAACAGAAGTGTGCTGGGCTTTTTAGATTGCATCAGTTCCAGAGGCTGTCCCTGTCCCTGCTCCTGGCTCCTTACTCCTGCAGGGGCGAAAGACCTTTTAAGCCTGTCATACACAAATTTCCATTCTATCCCTTTACCATTCTACACAACGCTCCCTTCTGTAATTCTAGCTTCTTCTCTTTCAAAAGAAGCTCCGTGCATATATTCACACTGACATCCACATGAAATTAAAAGGCCCCAAAGAAACAAATCCACAGCTGAGGCAATTCTGTTGAAGGAGAACTTGAGGCTATGAGGGATAATTGTACAAGTATTAGAACTACAAGAAATGTTTATTACAATATAATAGTTTTACTAAATAATTCAAAAGAGAATGCAGCAAGTCCACGATCTAAATCTTAGGGGTCAGCTCAGGGTCACCTTCTCCTCCATCCAAGCAGCATGCTTTGCTGTCTGCATACTGTGCACCACAGCAATGAAGCATGTGGACTGTGAAAGACCCGAGGGGCCCTTCAAGCTAGCCCCTAAAATTAGGTAGGATAAAGCAAGTGAGCACACATTACCATGTGGGACGCTGGCTTCTGGGCCCCCTTCCCTGAGGTGCCCTTGTTTTGTGACCTCTTCTCCTTTTCTTGTTTCAGTTCTAACTCAAGCTGAGTCCTGGTTAGGTGAGAGGAGAAAAGGATGAAAATTCTGATTTCTGAATTCACATATTCTAAAGAATGCCAAACCTTTCCCTTAAAGCTCAGCAATTAAATTTTAATGCCTGATAAAGTTACCAGGAATATCTGGACAACCAAGCTGTAAGGCACTGGAATACCGTAAACTAGCGATGCTCTGAGATATAAAACATGCTCACTCTTTCTACGGCAACTCGGGAAGCAGCGAGCAGCCAGTGCCAGTCGGTCAATCATTTTACACTAACTCTTACTGAAGAGTTGCAGTTACCTGACAATACACTTCCTACAACTGAACGGCAGTGTTTTTGAGCTTGTAGTAAGACATACCATGAGAGGACAGGCATGGCATTTCTGTTTCATATTATTTGGCTGTTCTCCATAGTTATATACTTAGTTCCCACATACCCCAAGCCAAGACCTTGGTGGCTTCCTGCTTTACAGCCATGTTTCTTTAGTTGCAGTGCCATAGGCACCACAGTGCCTTGAGAGATGGCCTAACAGAGTACTTAGGGTTTAGTCAGAGACAGTGTAGCCACTTACTAGCTTAATAGTGTGAACTGAGACACACCGAACCCGTCTAAGCTGTCATTCCATCTGAAAGTAGGAATGACGTCACCTATTAAAAGGATTAATGTTAAGACCTTAGGAACGTCAGTGTGTAAAGTGTTGTGAAGTATAGCACACACTGTAGGAATTCAGGAGACATTAAATTATCAAAAAATACAATTGTGTTAGATATTAGTTACGATATATTTGAGAACTTGGACTCTAATCCTCTTTTTGTTTTAGTTTTTCAAGACAGGAATGTCACTATGTGGAATGCAGCTCAAGCTGTCTTCAGGCTCCTCCTGTCTCAGCTGAGATTTTAGGCCTGCATCACCATGTCCAGCAGCCAGTTCTTAATCATCTAACCATGAGGATGCTCAGTGGATTTCAGAACTATTCATACATGTGAAGCTTTCGGAGTCCCAACTGTTTATAAGGGACACTGGGAAGACCAAGCCAAGGCGGCTCGAGAGCTGACCTCCCTCCTTGCTGCTCAGCTCCCACGGTGCCCACCACCACCGCCCTACTGGTCAAGCTGCCCCTGTTCACCGCTGCCTGGTGAGTGCCTCCACTTCCAGCTGCAGACTGTTGATCTTGTCTCCAAAGTCCTGTTTGAAGAGCCGGTTGTCCAACTCGGCAGACTGGCGGCCTCGCTCAGCCTGGCGTAATCTGGATGTGAGCCATACGAACTTGTGATAAAAAACAAAAGCCATGGTGGGGAGGAAGACCAAGTTCACAAACACAAAATAAAATAACCCAAGGAAGAAGGGATGGTGAGACAGAGGGGGAAAATGCAGGACACAGGGAAAAAATATGATGGGGAAAAAGATGGAGAAAAAACAAATTCTAAAGAAAAGCAAGATGAAGGTGAATCAGGCAGAGGAAAAGCTGATTTTCTATTTTTTTTTTATTCTAGTACTACAGTTTACAGCCATTAGATGATCAACAACAAGACATCACTTTTTGGAAATCCATATCCACAGCCACCCTCAAGTACACAGTTATTCACAACGCCACTGTCTTTCTTTCCTAACACTCTGGTACTTCATCCTTCTGTCTTCCACATACAGCTGGAGCATGTAGGCACAGCTGCCTTCTCACGTGGGTTTTTCACGATTTCCTGATCCTTCCCTGGACCACAGGAAGCTGGAGGACATTCTATAGTAAGCCTTGCCCTGGCTTCACATTATTCCACAAGGACAAGCCTCTCTGAGAGTCTGGCTGTCTCTCTCCTTTCCATCCCTATCAGGTGGTGTGTGACCAAGCAGACAAAGAACTCAGCACTGGGGTTCCTAAGGCTCTTGACCATATCTCTGGAAGATTTTCACGGATGCTTTCTTCTAAATGTCTTATAACTTTGCACCTATAGAGAATCATGTTTTTGAAGGTAAAATATTTGAGGCTTTCTATAATAGAATTTAGAGGCATGCTATGTGTAAATCTAACTTTTATTCATTTGATTATTCTTTTTAGATGTTCATGTAAAAGGCAACTCATCACCATAAAAGGCTGATGAACAGCAGAATGCAGTAGGAGCTTTATTTATACAGGTGCAAAATTATAAGAATTAAAATGAGTTCAAGGGCACAGAATCGACCATGAAGTGGCCTCTAACACAGGCCCTTTGAGGACCCACAAGAACACATGAACTCTGCTGTACTCTTCATTCTGCTGTGCCAAGAAGGTAAAGAATTTGAAGAGCAGAAAGCAAAGGGATTATCTTTGCCTCTCCGTTAGCACAGGCAATGCTACATAGCATGCCAGGAGGAGTGACAGAAATATGGAAAAAGACCCTGGGCATTGTGCCAATAGCTGGATGGAGTAAAGGCTCATGTATATAAAAGCCTGCCTCCCCAAATCAAAAATAGTTGTTTTTTTTAAATCAAAGTATTTATAAGATTATTTACAATGTAGACCCTAAAAAGGATTAAATCTGTGGTCACTTAGAAAAACAAGCCCTGCTAGTATTGCTTGTGACTATCTATTGAGGATTTTTATTTTGATACTAAACAATAATGCCAGTGTTTTACTTATTTCTCATTGGAAATGTTTTTTTTTTAGTAACTAGGTTAGTTTCCCAGAACCTTTAGCAAATTCCCATTACAGAATAAGTGATAGAAGCTTTTGGGTAAGTGTTCCGGGTGAGAATGATGGGCAGGAAGTCATGACTCATGACTGCACTGTGGCTTCAGTATTCCAGTAGGAAATGCAGGGGAGATTTGAAAATCGTATTTGTATTAAGTTCTCCTTGAGCTACCTCAGTAGTAAGTAGAATGACAGAGAAGGGCAGAGGTAGAAGATGACACACGTTAAGAGGGTTTCTCAAGCTTCCACACTGTGATATTGAGTAACCTAAGCACTACTTTGTTTCTAAGTACTTTAAAGAAATGCAAAGATGCTGCTTTTTTTTTTTTTTTTTTTTTTGTCCAAAATCACTAAGGCAAAAATAAATTGCAAGCAATCTTGGTCACTGAGAACAGAACTGTAATGAAAGAGTAAGTACTTATCTTGGGTTGGGGATTAAACCTACACAAGGCAAAAGAAAAGGGGCTGTGGCCTAAGAGACAGAGCTGTTTTAGAGAGTCCTGGGTCACCAGGTGATGCCTGCTCACCACTACACTGCCAAGAGCAGGCTCACAGGTGGGGACACAGGTGCTCCTACCGTATGGTCACTGTCAAGCACACACGTGTGCAGTGCTTCCATTCCCCGGCTTCCTAGGAATGGTCTGTTGATTTACTGTTCAACTCAGAAATATTTCTCAAAGTTTATTTGGTATTTAGTGAGGGACCCATATGAAAAATTCTAACTCGGGGAGAACACAACAGCAGCAGCAACAACAAAACCCAACCTATAAAGCTCACTATGTATGTAAAGTCCTACAAATTCTGGGTCAACTTTTGGTGATATTTTATATAGGATCAGAGCTTAAATGTAGGAATTTCAGATTTCTCCCTATAGTTAATTTGTAGCATCAGACTTGTGAGTTGATCAACTGCAAAATGTCTAATGATGTTTTGGGATCAGTTTATTTGCTGCACTATTTAAGGTCTTTGCCTGTTTCACCAAATCTTTTTCACTTAATAAAATAAAAATAAAAATGAATTAGGAGGGTAATGAGAAAGTAGACACATAGAAAACAAAGATAGTAAGAAAATAAGTCAGAGAAGTCATTATTTTAGCTCTGCTGGCCTTAAACGCCAAGTCAAAACTCACCGACGAACAGTGTCAAACATTCCAAAAGCACAACTCATGAATATGTTTATTAAGTCACAGACATCAAGCTCTATGAACAGGCAGTTGAGTAATCCGCTCTGCAAACAGACTGGCCTTCGTCTAGCAATCACAGCAGCGTCAATATTTCCCAAGGTTTCAACATCACAAGTTTGCAGCTGCATTAGGAGTAACATTAATATGCTCTGCTGTTCATGGCTCTCCCGTCCTAGTGAAGACTCACTGAAGGAAGCCATCCATCTCTTCATTCACTCATTCATTCATTCATTCATTCTTATGTCGATTTATGCCATGTACATTCAAGCGCGGTGACAGATATGCAAGGAGCTTACATTCTCAGAAGATAAGACACTTATACAGACTACAAGGTGAGGTGCATAGTGAGAAATGTCAGGGCAGTATTTCTAGCTGGCATCAGAGGAAGCCAATGTCAGGCGATGGCATCTGAACCTTTGTGTAAAAAATTCATTTGAAGAAGGGAACAGGAAAGGAGCTTTCATAACTGGTGGAGCTATCAGAACAGTGAGGGATGGAAAGCGTGGAAAGCATGGCCAAGGTGGCTTAGCTTTGCTAAGGTCTAAGCAGGGTGGTGAGTAGGTGTCAGAGAAATGACAGGAATGTCAGATAATTGTGGGTGCTGCTATGCACTGCACTGTGATGTCGCAAACATTTCTCTTTTGCTACAGATGTAAGAAGAAACAGGATGTCATAACAAGACATATTTGGGGAGGAATGCAGGTACTGTTGGGTAAGGTCTAGCGGATGAGAACTGCAGACTCCACCTGCAGGTGTTAGTGGAAGCCACACACCTCTTCAGGGGAAAGACAGAAGGGTACATTAGAGAAAGTGAAAGGCGAAGGAGAAAGCCAGGACTGATTCTTGGAGGACATCTGACTTTCTCAGAATCCCTACCTCACCCGGTATAAAAATAGTTAAAGACTAGTGACAAAACTACACAATTACAAACACTATCTATTTAGAGATGGTCTCACTCTTTAACCAAATCTAGCCCGAAACTCACTAAATACGGAACATTTTTAACTTAAAAAAATCAATTAGAATATAATTACATAGTTACATAGTTTCTTGCCTTTCTTCTCCTCCCTCTAGCCTCTGTGTCCCCCTTACTCCCTCTCAAACTCATTGTCTTTTTTTCTTACACACACACACACACACACACACACACACACACACACACACACACCACACCACACCACACTGCTAAGTCTGTTTTGTGTTGCTCATATGTGCATGCTTTTAGAACTGACCACCTGGCATTACCCAGTTTGGGGGTTCATCCCTGGGGAAGACTATTTCTCCCTCTCCCAGCTGTAGTTTCCTGTTTTGGGGTGGAGGGATCTGAGATTCCTTCCCTGCTAGCCTGTCTGTTATGTAGGCCACTCCTGACAGTGTTTCAGGAACATTGTGGAATACACAGATAAAATTTAAACAACATGTCTGATTTAAGTTGGGTAAATTTTCTCTGTTTTTATTTGCTGAACATATTCTCAATACTTCAGTACTAAGTCATTACAGAAACAGCACTTTTACCTTTGCTCCAGTTGTTTAATGGTGGCAGCCATCTGATTGGTCTTTTCTTCCAAGCGACTGTTTAATTCACTTTTTTGTTTTACTCCTAGGTCTGAACTCTGTTAGAAAAGAATTATAAAGATTTATAGTGCATGTTTTTGATCATAATGGCAAACAGAAAATAAATAGAAGTGCTCTATACTTGTTTATCAGTTAATTTCCAAGTAGAAAAGAAAGCCAAGAAGCAGGAGTTGAAGCAGAGGCCACGAAGGAAGGCTTGTTCCTACTGCTTTCTTCCAGCCCAACATGGCACCACTCACAGTGAGCAGGGCCCTCCCACATCAATCACCCAGCAAGAAATGTAGCACAGGTTTGACCACAGGCCAGTCTGCCAGGCCATTTTCTCAACTGTGGTTTCCTCTTCCAGAATGACACTAGCTGTGTCAAGCTTACCTAAAACTAGCCAGCACAGATGCTTGAAAAAGAAAAAAAGAGAAGAGAAGGAATTTGATTCTCCCTTTACTATGTAAAAGGTAGCCATGATTTTCCAGAATAGCAGTGAATTTTAGGACAGTCTGAGTATCTGTTTGTGAGCAGCTGGCTTCATAGGGAGCTGTGACGCTTTCTCCTGGACTGTGAAAGTGAGTCTGTAGACCAAGAGAGCTTCAGGGCAGCAACAGGAGTTCCGAGAGCCAGGGAGTCTACCCTGTTGTCCCCCTACCTGCAGCTTAAAGGCAAGTTCGTGCTTGAGAGCCCGGAGATCATCCAGCTGCTGCCGCAGGGACACCAGGGCATCCTGCTTCTCACAGACATCCTTCTCCAGCATCTTCATAGCCAGTTCCATCTCCTGTCTCATGCTTATCTGGAGCTCCAGCTCCTTTTCAACGTCCTGCCCCAAAGGCAAAAAACAAAAACAAAAACAAAACAAAAAAACCTGCTTGTACTCTTTCCTCAATTAAGTAAATGCCATACATTTTACAAGAAAAGATAAGCTGACTTTTTTGACAGAAGACTAAATTTTTAAGAGACATCAATAATAACTATAGGATTAAGAAGAGGAACGTTTGCTTGGCTGTTCTTGATATTAGCTGAGATGCTCTGGGTCCCTGGAGATCAGTTTCTGGGAACGGCCAATATGGCTGAGTGGAATTTTATCACTGATCATGAAACTCTTTGGTTTTACCATAATCACAGCAGCATTATTTAGCAGGCACATTGACTGGAGTTTTTCTGTATTCAGGTCATGCCCAGGGCACACCTTGGATTGTCTTATTTAGTTTCCTGTCTCTTAAAATGTGATACTACACATGACAACTTTCAAGTTTTGTATTGTGTTTCCCCTCTTTAAATAGTTAAGATAAAAATGGATGATGCTACCTCATGCTGACCTTATTCATAGGATACTTTTTGTTTTGTTTTGAGACAGGGTTTCTCTGTATAGCTTTGGCTGTCCTGGACTTGCTTTGTAGACCAGGCTGGCCTTGAACTTACAGAGATCCACCTGCCTCTGCCTCCCCGAGTACTGGTATTGTAGGTGTGCACCACCACACCCAGCCCTAGAATACTTCTCACGGGAAACATTTTAATAACTAATTTTTACACACATATAGAGTAAATGTTAGTTCTTTTAAGCACATTAAGAAGGTTGCGTTTTCAGAAATCCTGAGTTTCTGCCATGTACTCTTAAAGAAACTTCTTAGGACAAATTAAAGCATCCCTCACTTTCAACTTTCCACATTTTTAGAGACACTGCAGAGCTTATAATGGGATTCTGTGGTTTTTCATATTAGCTGACTTTCAGGAGATGTAAATACATTACTACTAGGGATTACTAATATACTAATATTAATAATCTATTATGGGAACAGTATTCCTTTTTAGAAATCATTATAAATACATTTATAATTTATGAGCTGTGTATACACATATCTACACATGCATCTATATTTTAATAATACTGGATAATTTTTCCATTTATATCTAAGAAAAAGAATAAATTCAGAAATAAAAACTAAAATTAAAAGTATAATTCTCTTCCCCCGAAAAGGAGTGCAGCCTTACCAGGCCACAGAGGAAGACAATGCAGCCAGTCCTGGTGAGATCTGATAGGCTAGGGTCAGAGGGAAGGGGAGGAGGACCTCCTCTACCAGTGGACTTGGAGAGGGGCATGGGATGAGATGAGGGAGAGAGGGTGGAATTGGGAGGGAATGAAGGAGGGGGCTATAGCTGGGATACAAAGTGAATAAACTGTAATCAATAAGTATAAATTAATTAAAAAAGTATAATTATCCAGGCAGTGGTGGCACATGCCTTTAATCCCAGTACTCAGGAGGCTGAGGCAGGCAGAGTTCGAGGCTAGTCTGGAACACAGTGATTCCAAACAGCCAAGGATGCACAGAGAAACCCTGTGTCAAAAAAGAATCAAAAGAAAAAAAAAAAAGGTGTCACGCTCTGACCTATGATTCACAAGGGGAAAGGACAGTGACCTCTAGGGAGATACCTCAGAATATCTGCAGAAGTGAAGTCTGAGAGTAAGGCCTGCATAGTTAAGCCCAGCAGAATATCATAGCACACACCTGATCTCCGAGGACCACAGGCAGGAGGATTGCAAGTTCGAGGCCAGCCAGTGTTCCTGCCATCTAAACAGTAAAAGTGAAAGGGAAGGACTAACAAAGTTGTTGTTGATAATACTCAGAAAGCGATTTCAGAAAGCGATTTCAGAAAGCTTTGTAAGGAACACGGGTTCAAAGGAGCTGGGCATGGTGGTGTACAGCTTTAATCCCAGCACTGGAAAGGCAAAGGAAGGCAGATCTCCGTAAATTCTAGGTCAGTTAGAGCCACACAGTGAGACCCTGTCTCAAAAAGTGTATGTGGGCAGGGTCAAGCAATAGTTTTAGGGGATTTGTAAAAACACGGAGGCGTGCCACTGAAAGTCCAGACCTTGCTCTGTCAGGTGGAGCCTCAAGAGCCCAATCTTCTCATGTGGCCTAGCTAGTAGAACTTAAGGAAGCTTACCAGCCGTAGCTGTGTCTCCTCCTTTAAATGCTTTCTTGCTTCACTCAGCGCTTGCCCTTCTGCAGTTCTGTCTTGCTTAGGACCCTTGAAAAGATACGTAAGAGTAGATATTTAAGGATTTAAAGACTATATACCAAATTAGTAAATACAAAAAAGGAACTCAAGGAGAGTATATTTAAAAGTTTATGTTGAAGTGGAAGTTTGCTGTATCTTTACTTACAACCCTAAAGTGAGTTACCAAGATAGGTGGTGGAAGTTCCCCAAATCAGTCTTGGAAAATACTATCATAGCTATGTGTGGTGGCTCAGGCCTGTAGTCTTAGCACTTGGAGGCTGAGACGAAAGACAGCTGAAAGTCTGAGGCCAGCTTGGGTCACAGACTAAGGCACTGTCTAAAAACAGAAACAAAAACCCACCCACTGAAACAAACAGATAAAACATGGGAATGGGACACAGTGCAGGCAGCAGAGTGCTGCTTTGGCTTGCATGAAGCCTTGCAATCAATCCCTAACACCTCATAAACCTGGGGACAGTGGGACCTGTCTTTAATCCTGTCACTTGGGAGGCAGAGGCAAGAGTTTGAGGTAAATATGGGTCACACAGTGAGATTCTGTCTCAAAGAATACCAATAACAAAAATAAAAAGTAAGCACTGAGCAATATAAAATAGGTTTTCAAAACTACACTGTATAAAAAGCTTGGTTCTTGGCTGGGTGGTGCTGGTCCAGGCTTTAATTCCAGCACTCGGGAGGCACAGGCAAAGCAGGACTCAGTGAGTTCAAGGGCAGCTTGGTCTACATAGTGAGTTCCAGGACAGCCAGGGCTATACAGGGAAACCCTGTCTTAAAAAAATAAAACATAAACAAACCAACAAAAAAGCCTGGTCTTTGAAGGTATTAAGTTATCTAGAAAATTCATTTGCATGCTCTTTCCCAGTGACAACTGCTAACAAGGCTACTCAATTTTAAGGAGTAATATAGTATAAAAATAACGGTTTGTTAATGAACAGTTAAAATTATTTTATGTATATGAACGTTCTACCTGCGTGCTTATCTGTTCCCACATGTGTACCTTGTGTCCCCAGAGGGAAGAAGAGGAAATTGGATCATCTAGAGCTGCAGTTACGGACAGCTGTGAGTTGCCCTGTGGGAGCTGAGAATTGAACCCAGGTCCTCTGGAAGAGCAATAACTTTCTTAACCCCTGAGCCATTGCTCTAGCTCCATTATTAAGTTTAACCACTAAACACAGTACAGACCTTGACTGCATATACACAAGAGCTTGAGTTAGCCTTTCCAACTCTCTAAAACAAATGTAAGCAGTGGTGAGGCTAAGCAGCTGCCACAGATCAAAGGTCGTGAGCCTCTGTGAGCCGTACCCTGTTCCTGGTAGAGTGAGCTTGAACCGTGTCACTGGCCAGGACCCCGCCAGAGTCCTCCCCACAAACTCCTTACAATCCACAGAGGATTTACCTTCCGACTGGATTCCAGTAGATAGGAGCTTTCTTCTTTAACTCGTTCCATTTCTTCTTGTAAGGTAATAATTCTGTTGTTGGCAACAGCAAGCTGTTGACCAAAATAAAACAAGCCCAAAACCCTTTTATTCTTTTGTTAAGTAGAATAATTTATGATCTGCTAAGACATAATTTTCAGGCTTAAATATTCTTAGGCATCTTTGGCTAAAAGAAGCTATCCTTGTCTAAACAAGGGTTTAATAAAATGTTCACTTCCTGTCATGGGGTCATCTTATGAATCCTCCAAAAGACCTTTTATAGGTAATTCCTTCACTTAGGAGGCAAGGTAGGAGGATTTTAAGTTGAAGGACAGAGTGGGCTAAAAAAAAGACCCTGTTTCAAAAAAAGATACAAACTATATAATCTATCTATCTATCTATCTATCTATCTATCTATCTATCTATCTATCTACCTACCTACCTACCTACCTATCTTTGTTCTGAAGAAAAACTAATTAGCATATTCCTGATTAGTACACTGAATTTATTTAAATCACGTTTATCTTACTGTACCTAACAGGACAATTAGAAACATGAAATGAGCTTCACAATCTGGATCATTGTACTTAAGATCTTGATGAAAACATCTATACAGGCTAAGCTACAGATTCAGTCTACTAATCACATGTCAAACGTGAGGTTAAGTTTCTCTTCTAATTCTACAGACTGTTCTAAGAGCTTTCACATTAGCTTCCCTAATCTCCAGTGTAACTGTGGAGCAGGAAGGAGCAGTCTAAGTATGCTCATTTGCCAGTGGGGGAGCTGTGCTTTTTCAGAGGTCAAGTGACAGCTTACTCAGAAGCACATGATGGTACATAGCATAGCACAGAAGCAGGGGTCACTGGCGTGCTGACCACGCTCAAGAGCAAACAGGATGTAGGGTCAGGAGCTGGCCAGCTTGGAACCCAGATCAGTGCTCCAGAGAACTCTCTGTCTGACAAAGGTGTCTGTGTGTTGTTGTCTAGTTGTACCACATCAACAATGGTCAAAGTCCTTACTGAATTCTGAGTACCATGATGTATATTAAATACTTCCTCCAGGCTCATCCAGACAGACTGCTCCCACAAAGAACACTTAATTAGCTATATATTAATTTGTTGTTATAATAATATAATTATACAACAATAAATATGTTATAATATACTAACTTTATATATTATATAGAACAGCTATATAATCCAACTGGGAAAATGAGGTCCTGACCACACAGCCAGAAGTTATTTTTTATAGGAGTTCTTATCTGAAAAGTCAGACCCTTCATGTCCAAGGTAATAGGAGTGATTGGTTTCTCTAATATATATTATTCAATTTTATAGGTCAAATAATTTCCAAACACTTACCTCCTCTGTCAATTTCGTGTTGGATTTTTCTAACAAATCTACTTTTGTCTGAAGGTTGTTTACAGTAGCACTATTAAGGAGAAAAAAACCATAATCGTCTCTTTTGAAAATTTAAACAATAACCTATATTTGCCTTCCTAACCCCCATCACACCATTCTATACCAACTTTTTGAAGGTTTAACTAGTACATATTAATTACACAGAATGAGTTTGTGGTTATTCATACATGCATACTATATAATTTAGCTTTTGGGGTGTATCTTTTTACTTGTATAGTGTTATAGATGTAATGTTCCCCTCCTCAGTTTAGCAGCTGTCATCATCTGCAGCTTGCTGCTGGTATTTTACTGTATGTCTTTATGTCTGTATAAATGTATGTTTACCATGTGTGTGCTTGTGCTTGCAGAAGCTAGAAGGCATCAGAGCCTCTGGGACTCGAGTTACAAATGGTTGTGAGTCCTCATTTGGGTGCTGGGAACTGAACCTGGGTCCTCTAGAAGAGTTAGAGCTCAAAACTGTTGAGCCATTTCTCCAGTCCCCAGTCTATTTCAAACTTATTTTTATCAATGAGACCAAAGACCTGCAAAGCATACTGTACTTTGCCTCTGTAACTATAGAAACTTATAACGACATTATAAGTAAATTGAGATTTAGGTTTTATGCCACAATGGTGGCACACACCCTTAATCCCAGCACTTGGAGGAAGAGACAAGTGGATCCTCATGAGTTCAAAGCCAGCTGCCAGCCTAGTCTACAGAACAAGTTCCAGGCCAGCCAATGCTACATAGTAAAACCCTGTCTCAAGAGAAAGAGGGGTGTTGGTGTTGGTTAATGGCTTTTAATAACAGAATTTACAAAACTTCTATAGGCTATAAACAAGATAATAGTTAATGGCTATGTTAATGTTAATTATTCTTCTAAAATTATTAAACTGATTTTAACACAAGAATATCAAAGTAATTCTGAAGAGTTTGAAATACCTGGTAGTGAAAGCAAAGAGAGAGGAAGTTACTGTATCAATTAGTGTGTAAGGGAGAAATGCAAGGGGACAAGAAAGACAGTTAAAACATTAAAATAATGAACCATGACTGGCGTGGTGCACACCTGTAATCCCAGCACTCAGGAGGCAGAGGCAGGGGGGATCTCTGTGAGTTCCAGGCCAGCCTGGTTTACAAAGGGAGTCCAGGACAGCCAAAGCAACATAGAGAAACCCTGCCTTGAAAAAAACTAAAAACCAAAACCCAATAACAACACAATAGATAGGTAGATAGATAGTTTACCCAAGCTCAGTAATGTAGAAGGTAGCTTTATCCATGGCCAATATAAAACATACACACCATATGTTTTATAATTCTTAACTGAATATACTTATTTAACCTCTAGAGTTACAATTTCATGATAATCTTTTATTGTCCTCCACTAAATTCTGTGATTGGCAAACAGGAATTTTCTATGCATTTAGTGAATACTGACTGACTGAGTCCTTACTGCTCATTGTTTTATGTTTCCTTTCTCAATCAGTAACCCCCCAATAAAAGAATTGTATTCATTCTTACTTCAGATGTCTATTGAGTTCTTCTACGTAGTTCTTCTGGTCTAGAATTGCGGTAATCTGTCCATCCCTGGAGGGAAAAATAATGGAGGTAAGATAAGTGATAGGAATATCTCCCATCCCAGCCCTTCCTAGAGGATGAGACTACTGGGGCACAGACATGGAATCAGAAGTCACACTGGATACATCATTATCTTGACATATCAACAAGGAAGATTCTGTGGCTTAAAAGTGGGGGGAAAGAACCTATGTTATTAAGGCTTTCATGAGGGTCACGCTGTTTTACGTACAGCATGTGTGCAGGGCCCTCATGCCTCCTGGAACTGGAGCTCTGGATGGTTTTGAGCTGCTCTATGGGTGCTGGGGAAGGAACTCAGGTCCTCTGGAAGCGCAGACAGTGTTCTTATCCACTGGGCCATCTCACCAGTCTCAGTTTTTTTTTTTTTTTTAAAGACAGGGTCTCAGTATGCATCCCTGGTGGGACTGGAACTCACAGAAGTCTGCCTGTTGAGTGCTGGGATTAAAGGCACGCGCCATGATGACCCGCCTCTTTCTTATTGTGAGTTTCTGATCTTCCAGGCCCAGCCTCCCAGGGTAGGATGTGGGTGTGGCACAGCAATGCCGAGTTTTTCTATATTTTCAAGATCTATTTCAAGCTATGGAGAACTGGCTGGGTGTGATCATTTCACACCTTTGTTCCTATAGCTGAGAAGTAGAGGCAAGAGGAAAGCCTCAGGTTCAAGTTTAGCTTGATCTACATAGTGAGCCCTAGAACAATCTGGGCTATAGTATGAGACCATATCAAAAAAATAAAGACAAAACAATGCAGAGAGTTGGATAGACTTTATAAATCTTTATACCTAGCAGGAAAATTATTACCTAGAAATCCTTTTTTTTTTTTTTTTTGATACAGGGGTTCTCTGTGTAGGCCTAGCTGTCTTAGACTCACTCTGTAGACCAAACTGGCCTCAAACTCACAGAGATCCACCTGCCTCTGCCTCCCAGAGTGCTAGGATTACAGGTGTGCATTACCACGCTCATTTAGAAATTCTTTTAATCATATGTGCAATAATCAGATATTTTGCCAATACTTTATTAAAGTTATATAATCAAAAAGTCTTCTGCTAAGGCAATATTGCTGTAAAGTACCTCCCCCCCCCATATTTGCTATATCAGAGAAAGAAGAAACTTAATTTCTTCATACATACCCTTCACTACCTTTACTGCTGTTTCCATCTTTTAGATACATTGAAAAATCTATAACTCCAACCTGCAGAGAGAATTTTCAGAAGTTAATAGAGAATTTAATACTTCTCTGAAGACATAAACAAAGTTGCTTTCTAGGCACTCAAAAAAAAAAATAACATAACCACAACGTTCACCAGGAGTTTACGATGAACATTTAACATTGTCCTGTGAGTATATGGTAAGTGAGGAAGTAGAAGAGCCAGGGTAAGTCATAGGGGCTGAGGGTGTGGCTCACCAGCAGAGCATTCCCCTCCCAGGTGCAAGCTCTTGTGGGGAATGTCCAGGTAGGCCTTTTGGAGGCCCATTGGGAATGGTGAGGGAAGCGTTAGCCACTCCTATGACTCCTCGAAAGATCCTGATCCACTGCACACTGTGTTGATCCACTAGGGACTCCTAGCACACTAGTGAAGTCTCCAAATGGATCCAAGGCTAACGTGGTGACTGCTTCCTCCTTCTTTATGGAAGTCTTCTTAGGTCGCCTTCCTCCCCCCCCCCCCCACCCCCCACATTTTCTTATAGTCTCACCAACCTGACTGATTGTAACTGGTGCTTGAGGCTAGCATGGGATGGTCTGATTGGCCTTTCAATCATTTTAAGGCTGTTACACTGGATAATAAAGTTAGATCTGCATCCTTGAGTCTGATTTCTGGGATTCTGTGTGGGCTCCATCACCACTCACCCCCTTCCCCCGGTTTCTGATCCTCACAAACTCTTACTTCCATGCTCAGCACCACACACTGCCACCACCACCACTGCCAGCAGTAGCAGCAGCAATAACAAAAATAAGAAAAAAGAGAAGACAATTCATGTCAGCCCTCAGAATACTGAGCATAAAGAATAAGGTTTAAATTTTTTGCCTTTTTGAGGCATTCTGCTACTACCTTTTTATGTTCTTTTAGGAATAACTTTTTAAAAGATAGTTAGAGAAGTTATTGTTCTAATTTGTTTATGTATTTAGGTTTTTCAAGGCAGGGTTTCTCTGTGTGGCCTTGGCTGTCCTAGACTTGCTTTGTAGACCAGGCTGGCCTCAAACTCACAGAGACCTACCTGCCTCTGCCTCCTGAGTGCTGGGATCACAGGCATGTGCCACCACGTCCAGCTTATAGAAGTTATTTTAAGAGTTATTTTAAACATAGTTTCTATGAGCTTGCGAAGAACTGGGTTTCAGTACATACTTCTCAGTGCCCTGCTCCTTCCCTTGCTTCCCCTCTCATGGCATTTCACCCCTGCAGCTTACTCTGCACTTTCACCTCACATGCACCCTGCTGCCCTCCCCCATCTTGGTCAGCATGTCATGTCCTCATTTGTCATTTATTTAGTTTTAATTTAGAAAGCTTTAGTCAGAAGCCACACCCATGAAGTCTCATCTATGTGACTGACTAAACCTGAGCTAAACAAGGACGGCCACAAAAGACATGTTAAAGTGGACAGGTGGAAGCCCAACAGGCCCAGCCCACACAAAGAACTGCAGCCATCTAAGGGAATGCTGTGAATGGGAGAAACAGTCTTTTCCAGGAAAGAACACACCAACTGATTATCCAGTATCAAAAGGTCAGCCCTGAAAACATACACACAAATAACATTACACAGACTGAACATGCTATATATATGTGTGCATATATATGCGCAACAATTTAAAAGGGAGGCTGTAAATTTGAAAGAGATCAAGGAAGGGGTTAATAGACGGTCTAGAGGGAGGAAAGAAAAGGGCAAATGATACGATTATACTATAATCTCAAAAATAATAAAAAGTTATAGCTATAATTAAAAAAAAAACAAAACCTATTCCCTTATGTGTATTTCACAAAATCAGAGAAAAAGCAATTTAAAATACAATCTAAAACCACTCCCCAAATGACCACTGCCTGTTTCAACTTTCATTGAGAGATCTCTTCATTTTTCACATCAGCCACTTTATTACACCTCTTATTGCTTTAAAAAAAATCCAAATCAAACAACATCTCCTTTCCTAATTTCCCTGAGTAAAGTGAAACCAACTCGTCACATGATTGCCTACATAAGGGGTGAGTAGTAGTCCCAAGGAAAACAGCTGTATTATTGGGCAATTAACTGAAGCCTGGCCCTGATCAAAGGGCTGTGTTTACAGACTCCTTTACTGTTCATAAGAAGTACTCTTTTTTTTTATCTGCATATATTAAGAAAAGGAAAGCATGCACACACACAAGGAAAAAAAAAAACTAACTACAAGATATATCCAGCTAGAAATAAGAAAGACAGGCTTTGAAACTAGGTAGCTGGGGTATGGCTGTCACTGTGAGCTACTATGCTACCCTGGCTGTTAATATGTAGCCTTATACTAAAGAAAGGACAGTCAAGGCAAAAATTTAAAGACAAATATCTGACTTTTTTACATTCATACTGAGAGGCAGGAGGAACCTGAAGCAGTAGGACTGATGCTATGAAGGATTTACTAATAAATTTGCTTAGGAAATATAGAATGTAGAATTTATCTAAATGGGTGCTGCCTCCAATATGACTGGAAGATAGCAATGTACTAACTGGGCCTGTTAGAAACTGAGAAAGAAAACTGTGTGTCATGATTGAAGGTTAGGGTTGATAAGAGTGTTTTACTAGTGTTTGTTTACCAAGCTTGGTCTCTAATTAGGCTCCACTTCCACAACAAAAGGAGACAACCTTGATTTACAAGCACCTTCTAGGCCCCTTCCACATCAAAGAATGTCCCTTGAAGGGGCTCAGGGAAAGGCAGAGGGTCACAACCACCTTAAATCCTGGCCTGCCATTAAGTCCCCTGTGCTCTTACCAGGTAAAGCATAATTCTGACAGGTGAGCAAGATGAACCTGGGCTCATCATGAACAGTTATTTGGAAATAACACTGCTGTGGATAAATATTCAGGCAATATCTGTGCGGTATAGATCTCCCATCTGCCCAAGTGGCAAGACTTACAGCCTCCTAGATCTGTTTAAATTGTTCAAAGCGTAACCTGGGGCTAGGACCTGAAGGAGTGCGGAACATTCTTAATTTGAATAGCCTAGGGCCTATATATATATATATTCTACTCAAGGCTGGTTCCCTTTTGTGCTTCACCATACCCAGTCACGCACTTAGAGCTTTTTTCTTTGTCGAGGTCTAAGTGTGCAGAGTGGGAAGGCATGTTAATTCTGTGGCACGAAGATGAGAGGACACCCTGTTTACAGCGCTCACAAGGCCGTCTGACTTCACTGGTGTGATCTAAACAACCCAGGCAGAGCAGCCAGGAGACCACCTGGTTAGTGAGTCTTCCCAACCTGAGAGTCCAGGTCTTCTCCTTTCATGCAGAAGTTGGCATCAATGACGTTCAGACCCACCAGCAGACCAGCAATAATAGCTCCTTCTTCTTCCATCATGAGGGCATTGGCTTCATAGAACTCACTGCGACAGAAACCCACAGAGCACTGTTACAATAAGAACCTTGACACCCCAATAAGACTTGAGGCAAGAAGAAAACCTCTCGCCTCGTCGCTGAGGATGGAACTCTCTGAGGGTACTTTCATAAGTAGACATTTTCGGTAACAGGCACATGAGCAAACCCTGTAGGTTCTGGAGCTTCTGTGGTTGAGGCTGGTATACGGACTCCACTGACTGACTGTTCATGCTGCACCACAGGACAGTGCTGTAAGCTTTCATGAACCATTGTTTTTTTTCCCCCGAGACAGGGTTTCTCTGTGTATGGCCCTGGCTGTCCTGGAATGCACTCTGCAGACCAGGCTGGCCTTGAACTCACAAAGATCCACTTGCCTCTGCCTCCTGAGTGCTGGGATTAAAGACATGTACCACCCCACCCCCCAGCTCATGCATCTTTTTAAAACATTCTTTTTTAAAATGTTTTTCTTTGAATTATATTTTTAAGCACATTTCTTTAATGAGTGAATAAATACCTGAAAGTACAAGTTGTTTTATATATATGTATATATATAAAATGCACTTTTATTTATATATATGTGGCTACACACCATACCACACACACACACACACACACACACACACACACACACATGTTTTGAGACAGATTCTTGTGTAGTCCAGGCTGGCCTTAAACTATTAAGCAGCTGAAGGTGACTTTGACTTCTTGCTTCTCCTGCAGAAGGCTAGCTCCTATGTCTTGGAATCACAGGCATGTCCCACCACATCCAGCCATCAGATGTATTTTCATAAAAAGAACATATCAATTAAACCAGCACTCAGAGTAAGCAACTTACGTCAGAGATTCAGATGCCACCTCAGGCCTCTTTCTACTTGTTTCTTACTACTCAACCACACCTGGCTAAGGGTAGTCTCTTTTCTATCAGAAAAGATACAGTTTTGTTCATGTTTCTGAGCTTCATGTATTACACATGTATTTTTATGACTGATTAGTCTAATATTATACACAATAGGATGAATCCATGTTGCTGTTTATATCTGGTACAAGTTACATCATACATGCATAGTACAACTTATTTATTGTATTGTAGACATGGGTTTTATTACAAACATTGTGATGACTATAAAAATTATTTTAAACCTTTAAAAATTATATTTATTTACTGTGTGCATGTGTGGATGTGGAAGCGAGGGGCTGCTTGCAGAGGTCAGTCTGTCCTTTCCACTGCGTGCATCCCAGGGATGGAACTCATGTCTTCACGCTTGGTGGCCAGCACCTTAACTTTTTTTTTTTTTTATTATTTTTTACTTTTTAGTTACATTTTGTTAACTCTGTGTCCCAGCTGTATCCCGCTCCCTCATTCCCTCCCCAACCCCACACTCCCTCCCTGGTCTCCTCCCTGCCCCTTTCCAAGTCCACTGATAGGGGAGGACCTCCTCCCCTTTCATCTGACCCTGTTTTATCAGGTATCTTCAGGGCTGGCTGCAAAGTCCTCCTCTGTGGCCTAACAGACTGCTCCTCCCGGGGGGGGAGGGGGGGGTCAAACAGCCTGCCCTTGAGATCCTGTTAGAAATAGTCCGCCAGCACCTTAACTTAACCACTGAGCTACCTTGCTTCCCTCTATGAAAATTTTTGTTCGAGGTTTTTGTTGAACATAATGTGTTTATGCTGGATATTGTAACTATGATCACTGTATTGTAAGATATACTGTGATTAACCGTGTAATAGACACATTTGTGGCTATTACAAACACACCTATGAACATTTTTGTTCATGTGCTTATTATATTGGACATACTGCATTTCTATTGGCTATGGAAACTAGGTCCTTGCATCAAAAGATGCATGAAAAGGGCTTATGACCATCTTTCACAGATACCACCAAATGGTTATTTAAATTTTCTGTACCAATTAACTTTCCCATCAGCAAAGTTACTTCACATCCTCACCAACAATTAATATTATTTGTTTTTTGAGATGGAGTCTCCCGATGCAAGCCTGATTGGCCTGGAACTTGCAGCACTCCTGCATATGGCCTCTGGCGTTAGGATTACAGGTGTGTGCCGTCTTGGTATCAACCTGCCCTTTCATTTGGGTTATCTTGTTGGTAAACAGCAGTATCGCCTTGTCTTACTACAGTTATGTGTGTGTGTGTGTGTGTGTGTGTGTGTGTGTGTGTGTGCGCGCGCACACCTGCCATGAATGTCAGAAGATGATCTACAGGAACTGGTCCTGTCTGTCTACCACAGGGGTTCTGGGGCTTAAACTCTGGGTATCAGGCTATGAGCAAGTGACTTTTCCCACTGTGCCATCATGCTGGCCCTTGCACCTTGTATTAATATGTACTGTTATGATGTCTGTTGAAGTTATATATCATTTTCTATGTTTACTAGTTATTTAAATTTTTCCTTTTTGAATATTAAATTCTTTTGTCTATCTTCAGGTCAGTTTGTATGTTTTTAACTTTAGAATTATTATTATTGTTGTTGTTATTTTGAGACAGGGTCTCTCTACCTAGTCCTGGCTGTCTCAGAACCTGCTATGTAGACCAGGCTGGCCTTGAACTCACAGACATCCTTTCTCTATCTTCAAGTGCTGGGATTAATGGCATGCACTACCACCACCTGGTGAAGGAGATGTTTATAGTAGTAATTATTACACAAATATCTTATATACCTGTTCAACAAAGAATGTATTTAAAGAATTCTACTGGTGAGCATAGTGGTTCATGCCTTTAATCCTAGCACTTGAAGATAGAGAAAGGATGTCTGTGAGTTCAAGGCCAGCCTGGTCTACAGAGAGTTCCAGGACAGCTAGAGCTACACAGAAAAACCCTGAGTCAAAAAAACAAAAACAAAAACAAAAACCTAAACCAAACATCTTCTTCACTCTATGGACTGCATTTTATTTTTAATGTTATGGTTGCATCTGTTTGTTTTTGTGGACAAGGTTTTGCTATGTAGCCTAGGCAACTCATGATCCCTATGAATGTCTCATGGTACATACAAAATGAATGTCAACTTTTTGTCCTGTTGGGCCTGTAGACAGGCTGTGGGGTCATACACCTTTCTTGTTTTCTGGTGGTGCTAAGTTTTGGTCTGCCCTACAAAGAACTACATATGGCCACAGCCACAGAGAACATATATTGTATAAAAACCTTTTTGGGATTAGGAGTGAGTGTGTGAGGTGTGTTCCTGATGTGCACCAACAGCAAGTTTCTATGGTTTGACTTTGTATGATATGGGCAGAACATATCAAGAAGAAAGTTCACCTTGTGTTCATACCTGAGAAGTTCCTTCTTATTGATCAAAGCTTTCATATACTCAGAAAGCTTCTTTTGCATTAACGCCAAACGAAGCCAGGCTCTTCCTCTGCCCACTGGTGTCCTACAAGAACACAGAAACTGAATGACTAAGAACACAGGCAAAGGCAGCAGGGCCCAGGCCAGTGGGGGCAGATGCACAGGCTCCTTCCCGCGGTCTGCGGTGCTAACACAAAGTCCCTTCTCGAGATTCCCCACCTGTCTTTGCACCTATCCTGTGACTGTGTGTTGGACATGAGACTTGGGTATTTGGGACAAATACTCTCATATTTGCATTAGTAAGCATATGTGCTGTAGTCTGAAGACCAGAGCACTCTTTGGCCCACCTAGAAATGTCCCATCAGTTCAGTATTTGAAGAAGCCGAAGTTGAGAGTGGACTATGTAAGAAACTGGACACTCTGAAGGACACAGGCAATATAAGCCTTCATTCAGTTAGCACCCCACCATTTTCCCATGGCAGGCTAAGCTCTCTCTCTCTCTCTCTCTCTCTCTCTGTCTCTCTCTCTCTTTTGGTCAAATTTGAAGGCAGGCCATGTTTCTGAGGATCACATAATCTTGGCTCTAAAAACCCTACAGAATACAGCTGTTTTCCCCAAATCAAGCCAGGCGTAACATCTCCCTAGGTCAAATTTCTTAAGGCTTGCAGAGTCCCCTGAATTTGTAATAAAAAGGAGATGTTTGGTATTTCTACCATGAAGACAACATCTCTTCGTGAGATGTTGAGCACACACTTCTTAAAAGAACACAAGCCAGTTTCTCAGAGTCCGCCCGTAACAACATTAAGAGTCTGGATTGTTACCAAAATGTGCACGTTATCATGAGCACCACTCTTCAAGGAGAGAAAGGGAACTTAACCTGAGACTTACTTGAGTCCTGGGAGATCTTTGACACTTGCTGTTATCTCTGCAGCTTCGGGAACAAGCTTTTCTACCAGCTCTAGGGGACCCCAGAAGGATTTATTTTGTCCAAGAAAAGTTTTCTTGGCTAAGGCAATGAAACAAAAGAGTATTTTAATTTTCTTCACAACATAAATACTCCCCTACTACATACACAAAAAAATGCTTGTAGGTGTTCTCTCTCTCTCTCTCTATCTCTCTCTCTCTCTCTCTCTCTCATTCTTTTTAGGTATCCAATCCTAGGTTATTAGTTTAAAAATTATTCATGCAGGCTGGAGGTCGCTCCGTGAATAAAGTGTTTGCCACACAAGTGGGAGCAGAGTTTGGATCCCTAAAACCCACATGAAGATCAAGAGGGTGTTGGTGGCTGGCCCATGATCCCAGCACAAGGACTGAGACAGAAAATCTTGGGCAAGTTACCTAGCTAAATCAGCTAAGTCAGTGAGCTCCAGTTTCAGCCAAAGACCCTTTTCTAATAACTACAATGGAGAAAGACTCAATATCAGTCCCTGACCTTCACACACACCCATACAAGTGTTGCATTGAGATATACACATGTGTATACACCATATAAAATTTTTATGAAAAAATTCTACTCCTATTTCCACCATTTTTTAATATTTATTTTTTTAACTGTTTTTTAAGACAGGGTCTTTTACTATGTAGCCCTGGCTGGCATGGAACTTGCTCTATAGTCCTGAACACAGAAATCTGCCTACCTCTGTCTGCTGAATGCTGGGTTAAAGATCGAGCCACCATGCCAAGCGCATTAATTAATTAATATTATGAATAATATTAATTAATATTCACCGAGATTTGTATTGTTTGCCCCCATGGAAGGAGCATCCTCTCTGCTAGGCACTGCTAAGCACACCTGCTGTGAGACCACACCCACCTTTCAAGCCGTGTTTCAGGCAGTGCTCCATCACCACGAAGAACTGCTGCAGAGGAGCGTAGTCAGAGTCCAGGGTCCGTCCCAAGTTCAAAGCCGACTCAATCAAGCCCTTGATACTCAGCTTTGCCATGTTCATCAGGTTCATGCGTTCGTTAGCCATGAGATAATTAGGATCTGCAGGGAAGAGATGAGCTTACTTAGTGGGAGAGTACGCTCCAGGACAGGATAACTTCACCACACTGATGTCTGCACTGATGCCATAAACAATGGTAAGTAAGGATGTTGGCGGCCTGTCAGGCACCAAAGAAGTGGCGCCAAGCTATTATTTTTGGATGTGTTCTTCCTGGCCATGTACTTGCTGTGGAAAAAGATGTTAGTTTCCCTGTTTAATCCTTTTAAAAGCAAATTTTAATTATTTTATCAACTCTTCAGTCTTTTTTTCCTGAGACATGGTTGCTCTATGTAGGCTTGGCTGTCCTGGGCTTGCTTTGTAGACCAGGCTGGCCTCGAACTCACAGAGATCTGCCTGCCTCTGTCTCCCCGAGTGCTGGTATTACAGGTGTGTGTCACTGGAACCCGGCTTAGCTGCTCTTCTCACCTCTGTCTGATAGTGTATGGGGTGCTCAAGAGAGAACCAAGGTGGGGGAAAAGGAGAGAGTGCTTAGACAAACTACTGGAGCATACTATTTACTCTACTAGCATTAATACCAACCACTACTGTGCTTGCTCGTTTTTATGCCTATTTGGCACAAGCTGGAGTCATCTCCGAGGAGGGAACCTCTATTGAGAAAATGTCTCCAGAAGACTGGGCTGTAGGCAACCTCGGAGGGTATTTTCTTAGTGGCTGGCTGGGAAGGGCCCAGCCCGCTGCAGGTGCGGTCACCCCTGGACTGCTGACCCTGGAAGCTGTAAGAAAGAAGGCCAACCAACCCATGAGGGGCAAGCCAGTAACCAAGGTTCCTGCATGGCCTCTGCATCAGCTCCTGCCTGCCTGGTTTGAATTCCTGTCTTGGCTTCCCTCAGTAGACTCTGATTCAGCATATATAACCCAAATATATCCTTTTTTCCTCCCCAAGATGCTTTTGATCAATGCATTTCATCACAGCAACAGTAACTCTAAGACAATCACTTTAAGTTCACAAACGTATTACAAGCTCTTGATACAATATGGCAGAAGAAATTAACTCCCCAAATTTCAACAATAAGCACACTGTGTCTGACTCTCATTGAAAATAGGGGCCGAGGACCACGGTCTGTTTAACAGAACACAGAAGATCCGGGAACTGTGTCCTTCTCACAGGTGTGATCCTTTTTTTTTTCCTCCTTGAGGGGCAAGGTTTCACTAGAACTAATAACAACCCTTAGCCTCAACCTCCAGTGCTGGGATTATAGTCACGTGCCACCAAACAGATCCAACTGTGGGCTTAGTTGCTTTTTGTATGAGCTATGCATCTGGTCCACAGCACACTGACCAATGACAGAACCAGACAGAGCCTGGAGTGCCTTCATTTAGTTCCAACCCTGTGTTCTTCGCCCGCTACAATCTACTTCTCAACGAACTGACGAGTACAGATGACCCTGACCCTCCAGTCCTAACACGATTATCTCGTACTCACTATCTCTTTACTCCTGGTGAAGAACTCCCCCTTTTCTTTAAGATCTATGTATTTTTCATGTGAATGTGTGTTTTGCCTGCACGTGAGTACCCGGCGCACATGCAGGGCCTGTTGGGGCACAAGCCAGTGTCAGCCCTCCCACTTCCTCTTCTGATCAAGTGACAGAGCAGGGACGTAACAGTGCTGTGGTCCGAGGTCCCACAATCTATATGAAGTATGTGAGCTTGGATTTGCTGTGAAAGCTATGTGTGTGTAACCTGTGCGTGTATATCCTAATCATCAGCACACAGCAAATTTGTGTAATGAAGTAAAAGCTGCCCAGAGCTCCATGAAACATTTTATCCCTGCTCCAGAAGGCCAAAGGCCTGCTAAAACTACACTTATAATTAAACAACACAAAACAGACTATCTTGTCATACAAAGTTTTCATTTATATCTGTCTTCATATTAAGTCAATAAAGCAAAAATGACCAAATTTTAAGCCAATTTACATTAACTGTAGAGACTGACAGATTCACAGACCTAACTATGAAAATCCTGATTTCTTGTAGTGCTTTCTTGGGTAATATTGTAATCACCTGATTAATTATTTTAGAGACAATGTCTTATTACATAGACCAGGCTAGTCTTGCTTTCACAACCCTCATGCTTCTGCTTCCTCAGCAGCTAAGACATCAGATGCACGCCTCTGTACTTGGCGTAGGTAATATTTTAGAGAAAAACTGTATATGAAAGTAAAAATTGGCCTATACTACCATTACTTATTTCTAGTACATTGACAAATGTTTTGAGGCTACCTTGAGACATTTCTCTTTTTTATGTATAGGGGTGTTCTGCATGCATGTGTATCTTTGTACCATATGGTCTGTGTGTGTGCCTGGTGTCCTCAGAGGCCAGAAGAGGGCATGGTATCCCCTAGCACTGGAGTTACAGATGGTTGTGAGCTGCCATGTAGGTCCTGGGAAGTGAACCTGAGTCCCCTGGAAGAGCAATCAGTGCACTTGACTGCTCAGCCATTTTCTCCAAGGAGAGAGGTATCTCTCCTTGTTCCCTGTAGGTCCACTTGTCACATCTCTATGCATTGTTGCGCTATTCACAATGGCAAGGAAATGCAACCAGGCTAGATGCCCATCAACTCCTAAATGGACAATGAAAATGTTGTACATATACACCATGTAACTTTATCCAGCCAAAAAGAGAGACAGGTTATTAAATGTGCAGGAAATGGGTAGAACTAGAAAATATTATATTAAGGGAAGTAACTTGGGCTTTGAAAAACAAACACGTTCTCTCTCAAAGGCAGACGTAAGCTCTTAATTTCTGTGTATATGCATTTCTGTGGGAGTGAGTAGAAATAAAGATCAGGAAACCAGAAAGGGGCCCATTAAAGGGGAAAAATTCTTTAAGCTGGGGAGGACAGTAGAATGCTTGTGGTATGAAAGTGGGAGGGGGAACACTGGAGGTGGAAAGGTTTAAGTGGGGAGGGGCAGGGAGTTGAAGGACAGGGAGGAGTGGGAGAGGGTAAACCAAAACTAATGATGTATTAAAAAAGGCCCTAAGGAAATCTGATGCTTGATACACTAATAAAAAATAAATTAACACCACTGCCACCAAGGCCCAGGGGAACATCTGGGAAGAGGAGGTGGAAATGTAAGCACCAGAGGATAGAGAGGAGCGTGGTGCATGCTGACTTCTGAACATGACACGGTGCCACTCACGAACTCACAGCGGCTGGGGTCACCTACAGAGACCTGAGCAAGGTCAAGGCTCTGCGGTAGATGGGGCAGGCGCTCTCCCCACCCCTGACTGAGGCACTACCTGTGGTTGATAACTGCTTTGGGGATGGAGGGAATCATCCTCTTTTGAAGGTGTGGCCACTAGTAGGATTCCCAAGTTCTAATGGATGGTCACACACCCATACATAGATGGGTGGCACTAACTGTTCTTAGTGGGTTATAAAAAAAGTAACACTGCAACAAAAAAAAAAACAAACAGGTGAGGTGCAGTGTGGTACACACCTTTGATCTCAGAGCTTAGGAGGCATGGGCAGGCAAATTGCTGTAAGACCCTGTGGGTGGGGGCTAGGGTTAGCTGAAGAGTGCTACTTTGTATTTGTCTTCATCACTTAAAAAGTCAGTGTTGTGCCCCATAGATAACCTAGTTATTTATAGTCCTACCTGTATGCTCTCCATAATGCTATATGATATCGCATATATCTGCACTCAGCAGGAGTGAGGACACACTCACCCAGCACTGATCTTTCTCTGCTAAAGTGGCTGGTTGAAAACATTTAGTCATAAATCCATTCATCTTTAGTGCTATCTTCTCCTGTTAGCATCCCCACGATACACTGTGATATTGACTCTTTGGGAACTGGCCCGGAAAGATCCATGGAACAGAGAGAAATGGCCATGTCCCCCTTCAGAAAACCCTGCAACTTATTCTGACATCAAATACCATGAACTCTGTGGTTCTGGAGCATCAGCACCAGACCACAGGGAAGCTGTCAGGAGTGGAGAGCTGAGGCCCAGTGGTTCTAGTGAATCAGGTTTTGTACTTTCACCAGGAAGTGAAACACCTAGCAATCTGCTTATGCATTCAAGTTTCAGAGACACTGACTGACATGATTCTTCTGTCTCTAGTATGTCAAAACTTCATGATTCCAGAAAGGCAAGTAACATGAATATGATATGATATGATAAATGATATAATATATATATAACATATATGACATTATCACCAGAAAGCAGAATGAATGAAATTAAGTACAGAAGAATTAACTAAATAATGGAGGGAAAACAAACAAAACCCAAAACTTAAGAAAAGTCAATGAAACTCAAAGCTGAATCTTTGATAAAGATCAACAATATTAAAGCTAGAAATACTGATCCATGCCTGTAATCCCAGTGCCCAAGGGAATGAGGCTAGAAGACCATGTGCCTGAGGTCAGCCTGGGCTACCTGGCAATACCCTGACTCAAAACCACGGCTTCTTTACTGCAGAGGCAATGTGACTGACTCCTACTCTAGCTGCCGGGCCTCTAGCCCTGAGGAGTTCTGTCCCTTATTACACCGTGATCCCAGATAATCCCTCATTTCCCTAAAACGACAATAAGGAGAAACACTGACAAACATTTTATCCATGGACCAACACAAGAGTCGAATGACTAAAACCAAAAAAGAAAAAGAAAAAGAAAAAAAAAAAAAAGGGAGAGATTTGAGACACTGGGCCCATGGTCCATATAGAAACAAGCAAAATTATAAAGGAAAAGCGTATGTTGATATACTAGATAACAGGCAAGACAGGTGATTTCCTAAAAAAATACAAACCATTAAAACCAACAAACAGAAAACACGAGTAGAGATGTAACAAGCAAAGGTACTAAATTAGTAATAAAGCAAAAACCAAATCCCACAGAGAGAAGACCAGAAACTAATGGCCTCATTGTTGAAGTTAATCAATCATTTAAAGAATTAACATCAATCTTTCACAGACTATTCCAAAAATAGAAGATGGAACTTCCCAACTTACCATATCAGTATTTCCTTGAAACAAACA